ACCTTAAATGCACCGTTCTCTCTGTTCTACGCTTCATGCTGTCATTCACCCATTCATACGCCGTGGCGCCCAGCAACGAGCACCAGCTAATCTGCAAAGTAGTAACCGTGTCTCTTGAATCTACATCTCCCCATCGTGCCGACACTCATTCTCTGTCTTACCGTGAGACCAAACATCACCACACGCAGCTTCTCAACTACAAACGCCGTGTCGCTCTGTTTCACACACACACACACTCGGCCACACATGGCCTTCCTACCCTCGCTGCCAGCTGGAGGCAGAATGTTCCGGTAACACGTTGTGTAGCGTGAAGCCGGCAGTCTGCTTCATGGCCCAAAGCCCAGCACCGCAGGAGGACGGTGTGCGTGTGTGTGTGTGCGTGTGTTCTTTATCATACACTCACTAAGATCAATGATCAGCACTGATGCTGTGCGCTCCGTATATGTAGCTGGTGTCGCTGCTCTGAACGGCGCCGGTTTGATCTCTGATGACAGTCTCTTAGTACAACTTGTTGTTTCAGACCTCAAGTGAACGCTGTGGCCTCATGAATATTGGAATGTGAACTAGGATCCAGTGTGACAGGCTAAATCACAGCTTTCACAGCCACACACACACGTTTCACACACACAATACCTGTGCTGCTCTCCTTTCTCTGTCTGCTGCAGCGATGGGCCTCTCGTCCGTGTGTACAAGTAGAGGGGGTCGTTCAGAGGGCAGTCTTGTGTCTGCCCTTCACTTAAACCCGCTCTCTCTCTCTCTCACACACACACACACACACACACACACACACACACACCCCTCCTATCCTCTCTCTCCCCTCTGCCCTCAACTTAAACCTTCACCCCAATCTTACCCCAGCCCTCTCCACGTAGCCTTAACCCCCACTCAACATCCTACGCCCACCGCCCCATTGCCCTGTTACCTCAGGCACCCACCCCCATCGCACACACACACACACACACACACACACACACACACACAGCGAGCAAGTCATTACGAACTAATTTAAATCACTGATTGGTCAAATCTGCCGGCATGAAAACTACATATCCTCTCATCACTTCCAACGAATGACTGTATTCAATGTTTTACTTGTTTTTGTTGTTGAGGTAACTCAAACCTTCTCACTGTTAACTCTAAAGCTACCTAAGGCTGTCTGGAAGGACAAAATAACCGGTTGGCTAACTGGCACCAGGATCACAAAGCATGTACACACACATAACACATTATCTTTGTCATTAACATTGTTCTTAAAGCGGTAGTTTGAAATGTCCAACAATGCAAACATTTAAACGTAACCCTAACCCTTTAGACCTCTCTCCATTTTTCTTTGTTGAGTCAGATGGCCAAGGCACCTTTTTCTGTAGCCTATCGACAAATTGTCACCAAAGTGCTCTGCACCAAAGGGTATTCACTCTACAAACGAGGAAACGCACATTATTCACATTACCAGTGAAACCAGTGAAAATTGCCTAATCTGTGCAGCACAATTCAAACACAATGGTTCAAAGTGTCATACGTAGGGCCGAGGAAAGCATTCGACATTAATGATCCCCAATCAACAATTAAAATTCAAGTGGGGCAGCTTCTCTTTTGCAAAAGGATGTTGTTGCTCTGCTGACTGCCGGGGCTTCTGGTGTGTTCCACACACACACACACACACACACACACACACACACACACACACACACACACACACACACACACACACACACACACACACTGTACACTCTCGGAGCCCTGAGGTCTGCAGTTCTGCTGTTACCATCTTGTTTCTACAAGACAGATAGCCACTTGACGCTGGCTCCGAAGGGGGTCAATCTCCAGAGCCCCGTGTCCAAAGACCAATCTGAAGGAATAATTGTGTTCACTGCCTGGTACAAGAACAGCTTCACAGCCAACATCCCTGTTCAGATCTGTCTCTGTGAGATACTTTCATTTGTGATGCGTCAATGTATGTTACTTGTGACCGCGTCCATCAGCAATGCTGCCTGGACTCAGAGGGGAAAGAGAGGGCCGCCAAATTCTGCTTTTCAGCCAGCGGTTCAGTCCACGCACTTCAGAGAGTAATTCATGAGGTGGATTATTATCATAGGAAAAGTCTTATCTTCAGCCTTTGTTTATCTGGGGGAAGTTCCACCGTGTGATCCCAGCGGCTCCGTTGCTGCACTTAAGGTCTGCACGACTTGCTCAAAGGCACTTCAGGGAAGGTGCTGCTTGACCCAGGTTCATTTTTCTGGCCCTTTTCTGGTGAACAGGCTCCTGCCTCCTTAGCGCTTTAGAACTGGCCTGCCCCCTACTGGAGATGACTGTCTGGAACCCGAGGCCTTGTGCAGCAGTTATTGTTCTCGCCCAAGTCCCGGTCGTGCACAGTCGAGTGTCACTGCACGCGGGGCTTTGTGGCGTATTCGTCCCGGAGGTCACTGGTTTGAGCCTCAGACGGGGAGGAGCAGCGGGAAGCTGCCTGCTGCCGACACAGCGATTTATGACACCCTGTCTCACTTTGAAGAGCGGCTTCTGTTGGGACACACACAGAAAGGGCCTCCGTGCATTGAGCCACCTGTCAACACACACGTGCCATTGTCATAGAAATCCCTCACCAGATATGAAGGACTGCTATGCATTACACAGCGTGTGTGTGAGACCCTGAGGCTGAGGCTGAAGATGTTTTTTCTCTGGCTCAACTTTGACGCAGTACACACACGTGAACACACGCACACATGAGTTGTTATGGGTTTGAAAACAAGCTGTCTGCAAATAATGAATACGGTTGAAAAGCCATTAACACTGAGAGAGGTAGAAAGGTCAAGATAAATAAGGAGATACCGAGATAGCAAAGGCCAAAGAAAGACAGATAGAACAACTATGGACACGAGAGAAAGAGAAAACAAAGACCAAGAGTGGGGAATTAGAGGAGAGAGAGAGAGAGAGAGACCTCTGTCTGAACTCACTGGTGAACTTCTGGCCTCAGTGTACTCCAAGTAACCTCCTCGCCCCCTCCCCCACACACACACACAGTTTCAGCTCATATAATGGAGAGCAGCAGGATAATATGTGTGTTTCCAGTATGAATGGGAGCTGAGCCCAGCTTTAGTAACGTCAGCACTGGCTCCTGTCTCTCTCTCTCACACACACACAGACTCACACACACATACACAACAGCTCAAATGTGACCTCCAGTTTTTCAAAGCAAACATGTCACGACAGAGAGGAAACATGGAATGAGGTGGCCCTCACTGCCAGCTTGATGATCTCATTAGAACTCAGAGCCACAGGTTCCTCATTGAAGGAGGTTCAGTACGAACCTGAGAGAGGAGCTTTATCGGGGGGGTGAACAGACCAATTACTGTTAAATAAAGATGTCTGCCCTCTTTGGAAGTGACCCAATGCTTGTCATCTGCTGACTTGCAGCTTTCTAAAGAGCAGCTCACACAAACAACTTCCCCCTCGTCACCTGCCAGCCCATAAAAACATCACACACAGCTCACGGCAGTGAAATACACATCAGGACCAATAAACACCAGACTGGACCCGTAGGAACCACAGGGAAACGCCCAGGGCCCCAATCATGGTTTATTGTGTTTGGATATGATATGATACATGATTTATATATGATATAAAGTATTGGTTATGTTACTTAAAAACAAGCGCCTCAAGTGTGTTGTACATTGTACATTTGAAACATTACGGATTAAAGATGAAAAAACACATGCAATTGGATATTATTATATCCAATTATTTTATTATATAATTGGATATATTAATAATATCCTACAATATAAATATTAATATTTATCTTGACGAAATACAGTAAAACATTTAAAATGACCTCATGAGCGAAGGGCCTGGAAGACAAAAAAAAAAGTAAATAGTATGAAATATATACTCTCCATAGTTTTATTTTCTGACGTTGTCATGGTGATGTGACATGTGGCAGCAAAGTGCTGTCTTATTCATATTCACATCATTTCAATTCCTCACAGACTCTCACACTTACCAAGAGGCGTCCGTTGAGTCCCTGAGGGTCCGGGGTTCAGGTGGGGATTAGGTTTGGGTCGAAGAGTCTCGTTCAGCACCCAGGTGACAATAGTATGAAAATAATTTGTCCAGAATGGAAGTCATTGGAAGTAGTACTGACCCTGAAAGCCTAAAGTCCTTGAGCTTTGAGGGTCACAATTCTTTGATACGTCAAAAACAAAAACCTGATCAGAATCAGTTTGAATTAGTCTGGATTTTTTGGTCGCAATGGTCAAGTAACAATGACACGTAAATGATTGGAGTTGTGCTTCAGTTACAGGCTAAACAACGTGGCTTTGATTGGTTGCAATGGTTGTCAATCAATATGAGATCATCCCCTTGCGTGACATCTGATTTAATTCTAGTTGGTTTGGTTGCGTGACGTAACAGCCCCACGTAGTGGTGACAACCACACGGTGCTTTAATACCCGAACAAATGCAATGGGCAGCGTGTACCTGCCTAATTCCCACAAGCTGGGCTATTTACTTTAAACTGCCGGTTTAGATCGAGCAGTGTTCTAGATATTCATGTTTTCTCGTTGCTACATTTTTTTCTGGATGAACAGTTTACTCACTTGTTTAAAGAAAATCTTATGAATTGAGGATTTGTTTCATGAATACGTCAATGGGCCAAAACCGCTTAGGTCCCAGGTTCATACCCCAAATTGATTAAATCATCAAAACACAGTAACAAACATTTGATAAATCCATTTTAATGGAAAATGTAAAACCCTTTTGAATTTCAATGTACAAAGCATGTAACACTTGCACTTTAAAATTTGAAATTGAAGCAAGCCATGTTTTAAAAAAATACCTCAGTGAATGTATATATATGTATATATTTACACATTATAGTAAACATTTTCATTTATCTTTTAAATTCAAAAGTTCACTATTGTAAAATTTTACAAAACAAAAAACAGGAAAAGTCATTCTTTTCTTAAATAAATTACATCTTTTCTGTAATGTCGTAATTTTACAGCAAATACTTTTTTTATCATAAAATGCTGACGTGTATAAGCCATTTTGTTCGGTCTTTACATAATACAACTTTCCACAGTCTGTACAATAGTTTGGCAGTTCATTAAAAAAAATCATTGTATTTATGGCAAGAGGACTGTAGAGCATCAACATTTCCCGGAGTTACAGGCATAAGCTGGTGTGTGTGTGTGTGTGTGTGTGTGTGTGTGTGTGTCTGTCCTCCATCACAGTAGAGCCGTATTACAACTGAAAACCACATACTAAAGAAACAGAAAAAAATGTACAAGTCACATTTAAATGAATGCTTTTTTGTTTCAATAACATTGCGTATCGTACAGCAATAAAATAAATACATCTTCACAGAGGACAATAAAACAAATGTTTGTGTAAAAAAACAAACAGCAACAGACAGATAGGACTATAAAAAAGGACACAGACCGACAGACTAAAGACGGAACAATAAACAAAGGAGCTGCACAGGTCGCTGCTCGAAGCATCTGAGATTTACTTTTTGCATTTTATTTTTTCTCCCCCTTTCCTCCTTCACAGCAGCGATGACGGTTTGGAACGTGGCGCTGCTCGCTGCTGGTGAGGCTGTCCTAATCACGTCGTGGCTGCTGCTGTCCGACCTGTCGACTCCATCCGACAGGACAGCCCGAGTCTCCATGGAAACACCAAGTCACGCAAAAAAGGTTCCGTGGAGGCTCGTAGTGCCGTGTCACTCCAGCGTAGTGGCTTTTTGTGAGGCTTCCTAACCTGTAGGCTGTCCTACGTTTCCCAGGATCCCTCAGTCCTCCCTGTGAGGTTTAATCCCTGCCTGCCCGGCGACCCCTCCGGTCTCGTGCTCCTCTCCTCTTTGTACTGAAAGTTTGGGGGGGGGGATCGGGGCCTCTTACGGGCCACTTGGATGTCGTGTGATGCAGCAGCGCCTCGCAATCCCTGCGGGTCACGTGACTGGTCCTGTGTCACTCTGCTGGAGGAGGCGGGCGCGGGGAGAGCGAGGTGCCGGCGGCAGTCGTGTCCCTCTGGTGGCGCGAACTAAACTCAGGGTGTGTCATGAGTTCTCTTCCTCATCCCCTTCTTCAGAGCTGCTCCTCTTCAGGGAGCTCACTGCCTCCTTCACACAGTGGTACAGAATGTTCTTCACCTGAGGAGGAGGAAGAATTATCTTTCTAATATTTTTAGCAAATACAAATATATTTAAATCTTTTCTTTTTTATCGATTTTATTTGAAGGGACGATACATAGATACATAGGCATAACAACTACAAACCAACAAATATATGGTCATATATGGCACTCTCATCTAATAACGAGTGTTTCCATCCTACGCTGTGTTCAATAATCGAGCCCCTCACCTGTAGTTTATCCTCGTAGTTGACCTCTTCTTTACTCGGTCGCAGCTCCTGGGTCAGGTGGAAGGAATTGGCCACATGCTCGGGAGACACAAAGTCGTTGATGACCTGGACACAGCTGTGGAGGTTCTGGACCTGACAGATGGGACAGAGAGAGGACATGAAGACAAAAACATTTCTTACCCAGTAACAGCATTGCGAGGTTCTGAAAACATCCCTTTATTATGCGGGATGTAAATCCTAAAGAACAAGTAGTATAATTCTTCTTTTTTTTTTTTTTTACACGCAAAAAAAAGCTCACTAACTTTCTAAAACAGGGCGTCACTTAAGAGTTCTCAAACTGGGAGATGGCGTGTGAGTACTGCAGATACCTGGTGCATGGCCCCGGCTGGTATGAGTACAGAGTCTCCTAGGAATTGAACGACAGTCCAGCCCTGGACGCCGTGCTCCTCCAGCAGGCGTTGACGCTGCTTCCTGCTCAGGTACGAGCCCTGCTCTCTGATTGGGTCCTGGTCCGCCGGGGCGTCCGACCCCTGCTGCTCACAGAGGCGGTGGGGGAGAGAGGCGGAAGTGAACACGACTTTGCTACATTTGGTGAACAGCTGATAGTTTTGTTTATCGGAGCGCTGACCTTGTGCAGGAACTCTCGGACTCTGTCCATGTCTTTGTTGAGGTAGATGTGCCACAGAGCCCCCGGTGTCTCGCTGGAGTCTTTGAGCCTCCTTCGGACCCCCTCGTCGAGATCCTCCTCCTCCAGACGCTTCAACACTCCTGCACACACACACGCACACACACACACACATACCATCAACATTGTTGTAATCAACATTGATTACAACATATGGATTTTTACATTTTATTCTTCCAATTATAATGAAAATCACATGAGATGATGTTTGGAAACACAGTAACGTCAAGTTGACTTTTTCTGAAGGCTGACATCACAATATGTACAATAAGTTATATTGTGGTTTACTTCCCAAGATGCAGCAGTCCCACTGAGTGGTAACAGCGGTGCTTAGCTGCATGTTTCTAACAGCATTGGATTGGCCTCAATGCTTCTGGCTGCTCCAGTTTACAAGCGGAGGCCCGGCACTTGTTTTCATTCCTGTACCTAGTTATTAAACCTCTCCCCCTGGTACACAGTATTCCAGAATACTTTCTTATTAATCCACCTGGGCTAAACCTTACCCGTTTTGGACAGGACTCCGTTGCCTTTGGCGACTCCTACGTAGACCAGAACGGAGACGACATCGGAGACTTCCACGTGCAGGTTGGCGGTCCCAAAGTCCTGGTCCTGCGACGCAGCTACACCTGCAGGAAGGAAACAGGTGGTTCATTGGAAGCCTGTTGACTAGAAATAGATGAGCACGAGAAAACATGTGTTCTATTTGATATTAACTGTAATCTTTGGTCATCCGATCACATCATTCTGAATTGCACACATGTATTTGAGGAGTGTCGAAACCAGTATCCAGATGTTTAATAGCTTTATCGACTGGGGCAGGGCTATGAGTGCTTCCAACTTAGTAGACTATCTTCTGAGCTCTGAGGCTTTTGAATCTCTTTTCTCCTCCATCATTTCTGCAGTGACATGATTGCTGCTGCTCATTTGGGTCCGTACCGTAGGCACAGCACAGTCTGGGTCCCAGATCGGGCCGGACAAAGAAAGATGGCAGGTGGGAGGCCAGGTTTAGGACCCCCTCTGGATCCGAGTACTCTGGCAGGGGCAGGTTCTTCATCAAGTCATCATATCTGCAAACAAACACATGGGCTCACAATTGCTTCATTGGGGACCAAAAACCATTCCTGGACGGGGAGAAGTTCTCCAGGCTAGTACATTGCAGCCCCAAAGACGTGGGACAATAGGTTCTAGGGTTCTTCTTGAAGTGTTGATGCGTACCTGGAAGGCATGAGGGCCATGAACTCCTCCCCAGACGGCCAGTCCTTCAGTCTGTAGACCATCGGTTCTCCATCTTTGGACTTGGGCCGCTCTGAACGGGTAAGAAGACTTTAGTTAGTCACTGATTCTTGGTTTGTGGCAACATCATCAACAGTGGATCAAGATAAAGAGATGAACTCACTGGTGATATCCTCAAATCCATCCCAGAATTCCTTGATACCGGAGTTGGACACCACCTGGTCTTTACAGTTGAGGAGGTCTCCCTGATGGTCTGCAAACTCCTGGTTGAAGGAGTCAGCTTTCCACAGTCCGCTGTTGAGTCGCTTATGGATCCCCGACACCAACACGGGCTGGACAAACACAAACACACAACTTTAACACAGCACTGTTACTATGACTCCTGCTGCTGTTAGTAGGAGTGATGTGTACCTGTCCTTGTCTCCAGCACTCTCTGAACAGCTTCCAGTTGTTCTGGTTACGGTGATCTTTCAGCCACAGCAACCGTCTGTTGTTTAACCAGCAGTGAGGAATATCTGGATACTGATTGGTCAAATCTTCCGTCACTGCAGCAGTAACCTGCGCCAACTTCTTCCTGTCTGGTTTGGCGTCCTCAGTGACGGCAGGGGCGGGGTTGTTGTTGTGGTTGCCCGGGGCGATGGGCTCGTGCTTGATTGACAGTTTGGTGGTGACGCTCTGCCGGCTGGCAGGGATTTTGTTCTCAACCACAGAAGCAATGATGTCGTCAAGGATATTCGGCATGGTCCTCCCACCTTTTCCAGTCTATCAGAAGAGAGCAAAAACCACGTTATCCAGTGAGCATTGACAAGACTATCCAGTAAACCACACAAAGCCATCCATGTCCAAACCAACCTGGGTAGAACAAGAAGATGTCGTACCTGTGACGCAGTAGAGTAGACCGGTGCAAAGGCCATTCCTGCGTCAGTCGAGCCCAGCTTCAGCTTCCCTGCTGTGGTGGTGAGCAGGTCTCTGAGTGTGGAGCCCTGCTCCGTGCTGTTGGCCACCAGTGAGGTGGTTTTACACTGCTGCAGAACCTCCAAGCTGTCCCCCACCTTGTCTTCCTTCACCGATTTACCCAGCAGCACCGACTTGTTTTCTGTGACAGAAGGAGGAGGAGGGTACTGACGCCATACTGTGTACTATGAAATGTACAAGACTTTACGAACTGCTGGGTAATCCGGAAGGATCCAGAAGAGTGATCAAATGGTTCCCTTCCCCTCACCTTTCTTTTCCTCCCTAGATTTTTGCTCTGCCAGGTCAGCCAGGAAGTGCAGAGGCGACTGGGACTCGGGCGGGGTGACGGGAGCACTTCCTGCGTCACTGCCTGGACTGCTTCCCCCTCTGCCTCCTCCGTTGGTCTCCACCTTGGTTCCTACTTGGTCAGAGTTCTGCTGAGAGCCCGGCTCAGCCTTCACCAGAGCCAGTTTGTTACTGTGGTTCAGGACATTCTGCAGAACCTGGCGGAGAAAAGCACAGAGTTACTCACAAGTTCAAACTGACTTTTGTCTACCCTGTAAACATGACAACATCTAGAAGCGATAAATCAATAAATCAATATTTCAGTGGGACTCCAAGTCCAGAAAATGTTTGCACAAGTATATATAATACATATCTCAAATACAATAAACATTTAATTACCACTTGATTAAAGTAAACAAAGACCACTTACGCCTATAATATAAAAGGGCATTTTAACCTATTATATTGTCAAAAATACCATACTGTACTATCAGAATTTTTATAACCTATTAAAACATAACATCTATTATAAAGTATTACTTGACCACCTGAGTCATGATATATGCTCTAGAGCGTATGATGTATGTGTGAGTAGAGCGGTACCTGTGAGACTCCGTTGGTGGCTGGTAGCTTGGTATTGAGGTTCTGCTTGGTGGTGCAGGGACAGTGGGGCTTGATGTTGTGCTTTTCTCTCAGAGAGTGCATGGAAGCCACCAACTCTGTCAGCACTGACAAGCACAAAGGGCAAAAGGATGCAGCAGACATTAAAGACTTTTAAAAAAGAAAACGGGACCTTGATTCAAATGGACCATGCCGGGATGATGGGAGCATGAAGTGGACTGTACCTGTGCCAGGTATGATCTGTGTGGGCATCAGGTGCTTGTGGTCGTGGGGTTGGCCTTTCACACACTTCAGCCAGCCGTAGAGTTCTTTATCTGATCACACAGAGAGAGACCGATGTTAGCCGCTGCATTGATGCCAGAATGACCATGTGGCTGTAGGAGCCTTCTGTTTGGCTCCAGTGTTGCCTTTTCTCATTCAAACAACTTGTGGAAATGCAGGAAATTGATGATTTGGAATGTGGTAGTCGGAGTATTCCAACAAGTATTTGTCAGGTAGCTTTCAGGTTACAAAATTGGATTGACTTTTTCAGCTGTATTTAAAAATAGTGACGGCAGTTTTGGTCAATTTCATATTTGATGGTGTGACATCCATTGATTGACCCAGTGGTTCCGTGGTCCCACTGACCAAAAACCTTGGAACCTGAACCAGGCCAATACAAAAAAACAGGTAGCAGCAGAAAAGGTCTTCGACGCAACCGTTAATGTGCAGTTTCCTCCTGGCTGACCGGTAGCAGTGAGTGCGCTGACTTCCTGTGATATGAGTGCGTGCAAGAATTCCTGTGAAGCTCCTCGGTCCACTACACACTACTGACCTTTGGAGCTCCTTCTTTCTTTGGCCTTGTAGCAGTCCAAGCAGACAACAAAGCCACACTTCTGACACACCCAGTGGATGTTGAAGAGCGTCGCCTCGCAGGCGTCGCACATCTCCCTCACCCCCCTCACCGCGCGCTTCCACGCCAATTTGGCTGAAACACACAAAGGGAACGGGATCAATTAAAATAAATGTGGTTGGGGTTATCAAATCAAACTGTGGACCGCTTTAAGCAAGGGCTCACCATCCTTCTTGATCCAGGTGGCGGCGGTGTTCTCCGTCACAACCATCTGACAGAACTTGTCTCCTATGAAGCTGAGGATGTATTTGGCTGTGGTTTGGTCCAGTTGGCTCTCGTCCATCAGCCCGGGAACCCAAAGGGCCAGGGCTTCGTCGTCAAACTGGTCCGGATTGGAGAAGCCGTCCATCCGGATGACTCCGTTTTTACTGTAGGACAGCCTGGACGGGAGGAAATGGGTTACGGTCAGCAGGACAGCCAGGTAATACAAGTATTATCTTGATCTCTAGAAGGGGACCAATGAAAACATGTTTTTATGCTGCTGAAATAGCAGATATACGATGGAAGCTGCTGCTGAATTGAAAAAGCTTAGGGAAACACCTTTACATATTTGTAAACAGTCAGTTCATCAGTTTAAAAATCCAAACAGCATCATTTAGCTTTGTAGCTAGAGCGGATTACTAAGGGAAAAGCCCGGCTCTGACGTGCTTATGTGGCGATTTTCCAAATGGGTTACTTCCATGGTCTTAAATACAGATCACTCAGTTGGCTCCCTGAACAGACTGCACCACCAGCAGATGTATTTCTGGGAAGTCCATCTTTGGTCATAATGCTACAATCACATATCGGCTTTCATAAAATCATGTGATGGGTTTGTTTGCTCTCATACTGGCATAAACAAATTCACTAACCAGGCAAACGGACCTGGGGTAATTTCCATACATTAATCCCTAACGTACTATAAATATAATTTATAAATGAGTAATGTTCATAAGAATATAACAGCCATGTGTTAAACAGGAGGGTCTAAACAGTGATTTACTGCCCCCAAGTGTCAGAATGAGAAGCGGTTTTCAGGTACGTCACTCAACAGCTCAGGTGAATGTTCTGTCTTAAGGGCGAGGGGGGGGTTTGGGGGCAGCAGCAGTTCAGAAGAGAGTAAAGGATTATAGTACAAAATCCTCTTGTAGAAATCCTCTGGTAGATTTACCCTGTTGGACACCAGACTGCAGCTGCTGCTCATCCAACTCAAGTGTGTGTGTGTGTTTAATGTGCATGTTTGAGAGACAGAGAGGAACACAGACAGAAGCAGTACACACTGCACTGCGTGTGATGAATGATCTTTACGTTGTAGCGGGGGCAGAGTTTTGCTAAAAACAGGCCGTCTTTTTTCCTTCCCTCCTCCCCCTCCCAGCTCCCCATGTGTTAATCCTTCAGAGAAAAATATAGTCACGCTATGCATCATGGAGCAATTGTTTGTTGTGTGAGCGCAAGGAGGGAGAGTTTGGGGGCTCACGATCCCACAGGATAATAGAGGAGAATAATGCATGCAGGGTTGAGTGGTGTACTTGGTCGTGTGGTCGGGTGCTGGAAGCAAAGGAAAAGCCTGTAAAAAGCATGTTACCGTCTGAAGTAGTAGAAGCGACAGAAGACGGGGGAATGCGTGGGCTCCTCTCCCTTCTTGCTGCGCACCACTCTGCACTCCCGACACTTCTGCATGTTGGGCCCGATCTCGGCACACGAGTCGTCCTGCAGGAATGACTCCCCCGTCTGCTTCAGCTTCTTCACCTTCCTCCAGTCCTTCAGGACGGAGCGGGGGATCCCATCTGAGAAAAGCAGCCCTGACAGTCACTGACAGTACCTCCATTTCATCACGATCAAGAAAGGGTTGCTTATAAGTCAAATTGATAATTAGGTTGTTATTCTCCCACTTCTATACAGCGAATTGCAGACTTTGAAATGTTGCTGTCAAAGTTATGTCCCTTTATTTTACCAGCCTCCTCCTGGAGTTCATCTCCAGTGACAGTATTTAGCACATTCCAACATTCAGTTGTCTCTCTTCCAATTCACAGTCAAAAAGCTCAAAATCAGGATTTGTGAGAAGATGAAACATTTCTACTGAAGCAGGTTTTGCATGAACACAGAATTGTTTGCAACTTAATATCAACTCTTTCTACCCACGACAGTACTTACTGCTGCTGGCTAGTTTGAGTTTCGTCTTCTCTCGGGCTGATCGGAAGATGCCATTGGGCTTCAAGTCATCGTCCTCCTTTTCGTTGTCTCCTTTCCTTCTGGCCATATCATTCTGCTTCTTCTTGAAGGTGGGTTTAGGCTGGCGCTTGGCTCGGCCCTCCATCTTGCTTTCACTGGTGTCGGAGTCGTCGCCCCCGCTCTCTGAAGCGGACTCATATGACCGTTTGTTCCCCCGCCTTAATGAGGGAGCTGCCTTCCTCTCCTCTCCTCCTCCTCCTCCCCCCCCCGTGCCTGCTCCTCCCACCTTGTCCGCCAGCTGCCTTTCTCTCTCCGCTTTGCCGTCTTTGCTCAGCTCCACCTCGCTGGAGGTGGAGGCGCTGAGATTGACTGTGCAGGGTTTGATCATCTCTGACATGGCGGCGGTGTTACTTGTGCTGGTGCTGGTGGTCGCGGTGCTGGTGATGGTGCTGGGAAGTTTCTCAGGCTTTGCACTGGTGCAGCTCGGAGTAACCGTTGTGTTCCTGTCCTCCTCGGAGTGCCGGGTTAACCAGGCTTTCTTCAGCTTGTGGTAGTTGCTGGGTTGCCCGCTGCTTGTCGAGGCCGATCCCGGGGGCTGGCCGTTGGGCAGGGGGCTGGACTTGCCAGTCGTTGTACTGCCGCTGGCCGAGCTGCTGCTATCGAGCGAAGACGACGAGGCTTGGCTGGACGCGGGAGGAGGGGGCGAGTTGCGAATGGGAGTTTTGTCAACAGAATCCACAGGTAGGAAGCAGTTTCCGATCGAGACGGATGTGGGCGCAGGAGAGAAGTTGCTTCTGAATTGGGCTGCAGCCAATGCAGCTTTGTGCTTCTTAAGGTGGACGAAGGAGGAGGAGTACGGCTGACTGGAGCCAGCAATGGAGCTGGGTGTCGGGGTGAGGCTTGGACTGGGTTGGGGTGTCCCCACTGGACTAGGGGGAAGCAGGGACCCCCCCGGAGACGTGGTGCGTGAGCCTAGCCCCTCCTGGTACTCTCTTGGTCCTGAGTGGCTCAGCACCCTGCCGCAAATGCCAGTTTTATGGGCTGAGACAGAGTAGCCCAGATCAGGGATGGCTGTCCCACTGATACTCTGTATGCCAAAAAGGGATGCAGCAGAAATGGCTGTCCTGCACACCGAGTTTGTGATCCCGGCTGACACGTTTCCCTGCATGTCACGCATGGAAGAATGTTTGTACTGGAAACACATTTCGTCCAGGTTTGAGTTGGGTTGGATAACCCTGCCGGCTGCCACTTCTCTCACACACTCCCCCAGTCTTAGACCCTCCCCCTGAAGACTGGCTGGGTAGAACCTCCCGTGGGGGAGCTCCTTAGTGATCATAGCACCAGATTGGTTAGCACCAACAAGACTGTCGTATTTGACGGATGAGGAAGGACGCACGATGACTGACGCCATCGCGGATTGCGGCTTGCCCCTTAACGTTCCCCCTCGTTCCTGAATCATCTCTCCGTGCCTCCACGCGTCCACGGACGGAGTCGCGATCTCCCCACCGATGGCTGAGGCCACGGTGGTGATGGCAGCGCTCCCATGACCTTTAACGTCCCTGAGTTCCGGCAGCAGCGTGGGGGGCTTCTGCTGCTCCGCTGACGTTTTGCTACCCGCTGATGCTAAGCTAACTGGCTGAATGGGCGTGAGGGTTGGTGGAGAGAGGCGTCCGCCATAAACGGTCCTCTCCCGCTCTCTCTCCTTCTCCCTCTCTCGCTCTGCAGCGTCCTTCCGATCCAGTGCGTGCTGTGTGGGCGGATGGAAGACAGGCGCTCGATGGAGAGATGGCATTGCCCTGAGCTGCTGCTGCTGCTGCTGCTGCTGTTGGTGTTGGTGTTGCTGGTGGTGGTGTTGTAATTGTTGGTGGTGGTGGTGGTGATTCTGTTGGTGGTGGTGGTTGGGCGCTGTGGAGGAAGTTGTGGAGGAGGAAGGGGAAACCGCGGGGCTGCGGCGTTCTATCCTGTCCATACCACCTGTGTGGTGTTGGTGTTGGACTAGTGTCACCTGCTGGCTCAGCTGCTCTGTGATTTTCCCTGCTAAACCCTCCCCTCCCTCTGGCTGGTGCTTAATGAGGGGAGGGGGCTTTGACAGAGAAGCTTTGGAGGTGTAGCTGCCCAGGGACAAAGCTCCCTGGCTTGGCACGGCACCCCCGATGCTGGCCACGACCCCCGGAGCTCCACCAGATACTTTCTCATAGTAAGAGCTGAACTCCTTGGAGGGGTAGAGTCTGGGAGGCTCATTCACCACGCTGTTGGACAGAGTGGTGAAGTAGTTGCTCTTTTCTGATTGGATGATGTGGGGATGGATGTGGCCGGCCTTGGGGCTTGGGGAGGCAAGAGCCGGTAACCTGACGGGGAAGGGTGCATCCCTGCACCTCTCTCTGTCCATTCCGGGGTCACCGGAGCGCTGCATCTTGGCGGTGAAGGGAGCGACCTCGATGCTCTCTTTAAGGATTTGACGATTCTCCTCTTTGTATTTACTGGCTCGGTCTGCTGCCTGAACTGCATCCTGGGCAAGGAAATACAAACACGGTTAAGGTCATTTGATTTACATGAGCTCGTTCTTGACTGCAGGAACTCTTCGACAGTACAGGAACCTTTGGTGGGGGGGTTTACATGGACTTCCATTCGCTGATTGGTCAAACACACACACACACACACACACACACAAGAACCTCTGCTTCAACATGCTTATCGCTTCATAAAATGTATCAATTAGTATTGATTTAGGACTATTTTAAGAAAATTTAATTTAGCTTGAACACACCATGTAAGTCAACGTCTCTTGTCAGCGGCGGGGGTTTGATCACTTTGACACAGTTTATAGATAAAACACCGATGCTGTGTTTGTGTACCTGTGTGTTTGCCAGGTGTGCCTTGCTGTGAGGGTCTAGGTAGAGGCGGTGCAGGTGGACGTCTTTTCTTTCTGGGGTTCGACTCCGGTCTGTCTGCTCCTGCTTCAGCGTCAACGTCCTGATCGGGTCCATGAAACCTTTCTTATCTGGATCTCTGCAGACGGACCAGTCAAATGTGAATGGGACATGGCAGCTCAGATGGGACAGTATGAGGGTTAAAGAGGCAGACAAGAATTTATGGCTGCTTTGAGTATTCACGGGTGTCTAAATAATGGCTGGTGATTACATAAGGGCAGCGAAGGCTACTGAATGAACAGCATTCAGTCTCAACTGCTCTCCCGTTGGATTAGTGCCACTTCACTTCGTCTGTCTGACCTGGCATCGCCTGTCTGCGTCTCATGGCTAACTTTGCGCTCTGGCTGCTCTCCGAACACATCCAGCCCAACAAAGACCAAGCTGTTCGAATGTACAAAACAACGATTGTGTGCCCCGCCTTTCTCTCTCTGCAGTGAGTGTTTCTTCCAAATACCTTTTAGGAAAAAGCAATGCCTTTCACTGAGCCTGGGACTTTTTTCCATCCCTACATGGGACGGCTTTATTGGCAGTTGGGCTGGAGCGCTATGAGCACCTGACAATAGATGAACTGGATTTTTTGGGGAGTTTTTCCTGTGCCGATGGGTTTTGGTAACAGAGGATGTTGTATGTGTGCAGACTGTAGACCCTCTGAGGCAAATTTGGGCTACACAAAATAAAATGAATTGAATTGAATAGACCTAACACACTGTCAGTCAAGTCTCACTGGGCTTTCAACTCACTCTTTATGCGTGTTCATGCTGCTCTTAGACAGCGGAGGGCTTGTGTGGCTGCTGATCTTCATCGAGGGCCGGTGGGGGTCAGCACTTGCCGGCCGAACAGGAACGTGGCTCAGCAAACCCAGACCATCACCGGCGCTGCCGGCGGACTGATGGAGCCACGGGCTGGTTGTGTTCTGCAGACATAACACACAGATATAACATCATCACCATCATTATTGTCAACTACTTTCAGATTAGAAGTAAACTGAAAGTGAGTTATTTTAGAATAAATTACTATTTAATATATAAGGTTTTGACGCTGGCAGGTGGAAATGATATTGGAGGGAAAATCCACTTTACTGTCAACACAGTTAAGTAAGACCACAATGGCCATCCTAAAGACGGTCGAAAAAAGGTTTGTGTGATCGACATCACGGATGAGGCTCAGGCCACGATTTCCAGCCGACAGACGTTGGGGGAGTTTTGATAAACGCTGACTAAGCAGAGTGAGGCTCTAAGTAATTGAACGTCACAGCCTGTGTGTGACACCTACCCTCCTGAGCGAGCTCTCGGAATTCAAGCTGATGGGGTTTTCAGAGTGGACCCACTTGGCTGTAGGGGGCAGGTTGAGCCCTGGGGGGTAGGAGGTCGGTGTTCCGTTGGGGTACTGCCAGAGGATGGGGTAAAGGCCCAGCCCTGCTGCCCCGCCGTGGGCCTGGGCTAGTAGAGAGGGTGGAGGGGGGCCCTGACCCTGAAAGCAAAGACACATTGTTGTAAATGACAATATCCTGAATGAAGGAGGTGTGCATTTTATATGGACTCAGACCTGTAGGAACCGCTGCTGGTGCGCTGACGCCGGGTGAGATAGGGCGAGGTGACCTAGCCCGCTGGGGGAGTCGAGCCGAGGGTGGCCCCCGAGGAGGGAGGCCGCGGGAGGAGGCATGCCTGGGAGGACCCCGGGTGGTAACAGGTGCGGGTGAGGTAGGGCAGAAGTGTGAGGAGGAGCGAGAAGGTGGGAGTGGGACGCAGAGGTGAGGCAGGAGGAGTGAGGGGTGGGGGAGTGGAGGGTGTGCAGATGGGGATGGAGATAGGCTGCCACGTGGTTGGAGGACACAGAGACGGAGACAGAGTTCTCTGCATCTGAGCGGACCAGAGCTGGGTCCCTGTACACGGTGAAGGTCTCGTTCTTATCAATGATCAGAGGGCTCTTGGTGCTGCTGCTCGTACTGACTCCACCCGTCTCCGACCGCGCCGCCACCGGCTTGAAACCGGAGCGCGGAGGTTCTGTTGGTTCTACTTTGGCCGACAAACGGCCCATCGGAGGTGGGGAGGTGTCAGAGTATCTCTGTATTTTATGCTTAGAGACTTCTGGGGAGGTGTTAGGTTTGGGTTTAGAGATGTCCAGCAGGCCCGGGTGGGGTTTCGCCTTGAGTAAGTCAGCTGGGTTTGTGTTGGGGTAGGGATGGCTCTGAGAGTTGTTGGGGTGCTGCGGTTTCTGTTTGAGGGTGTTGAGCTGTGTTGGGGCTGTGTTGGGGCTCATTCTGGATCTGGCTAGTTCAGCGGGGGGGACTGTGTTCATCTTGTGGGGGGGCGCTTGCTGCAGTGGGTGTTTTCTCGTCTCCTCAGACAGAGACGGGCTCTTAATCCCGGAGTGGATTGATGTGTACTGTTGTGCGTGCTGCTGCTGATGATACTGCTGTTGATGATGATGATGATGATGATGATGATGATGATGAGGGAGGGATATTTTCTCCTTCTCAACAAGCACCACATTTTCAACAATCGATGTGACGGGCCTGAAAAACAGCACAGAACAAAATGTACCTTTAACCGATGCCGCTGGCATGAGAGGAAACAAAGGGCATTCTATTTGAACAAACTTGGAAACTGGGAAAAAATCATGGTATCAAACATTGACACAAACAAATGATTCAAATGTTTTTCAGCCTCCTCTGCGTGTCGGCCAAAGTCAAATCTAGTTTAAAAAATCAGGCCGCCGACGATTCCCTCAGGTAGATTTCATCTGAGGATGTATGTTCATGGATTTCTAATCGTCTTTCTATGTGTCCTGAGGCAGAGAAAAAAAATACAGAAATGTCTTCTTCTCACATGAATTAATCAGTGACTTTATCAACGTGGCTGGGCTAATAAAGAAGGATTCTTACCGGCAGCCTTTTTGACCACTCACAGAATATAGAATCCATTATTATGCTTATGATAGAATGACTACTTGTCAAATATCCAGACTACAGCATATCATATTCATTGCAGCTGTAGCAAAGTCAAGCTGCCTGAGTTAATGTTACAGGATAATGTAGCTTGAAATATGTGTTTCACCTCACAAATCAGATCATTTTATACAAGGAGGTTCAAAAAGCACCACCAGTTTCAACATCCAGGTCCTTTTGTAAAATCCCTATTTTAACACTTGTATTCTCACCTGATGACCTCAGAGGGAGCAAACTCCATCTTGTTGCTTAGGCTCCTGGCTGCTGCCATGCCACCTCCCACAATCCCCTGCGGCTGCATTGGAGGCTCAATATCCGTCCTGCGGCCTCCTTCCGATGGCGAGGGAGACGGAGGGACCGGCGGCGAAGAGACAGGAGAGGGGTTTAGGGGGAGGTAGGGGGAGAGGGCCGTGGACTCGGCCTTCTGCGAAGCCAGCAGTGCTGACACGGCCTCTGAACTCTCCTGGTGCACCGTGGCCTGAGCCTCATCCGTGATGTCGATCACACAGCCGCCGCCGCTGCTGCCGCCGCCAAGTTGGCAAGATGGCGTCTGGGATCCAGAAGGCGCTTAAAAAAAACAAACAGATTTTACGATAAGAATGCGAAGCCGACTGACTATCAGACAGCTGCCATTCATCAGCTGACTTTACCTTTCGCGGTGCTCTTGATGCTATCCATAATGGCCGCCTGGACCGGGTCTGACATCTGAGGTGTCTGTTGCCGCGGAGACTGAGTGATTTGCGTCACCGCCACCAACTCCTCCTCCTCCTCCTTGGTCGACATTTTGCCTGTGTTCTTGGCCACGCCCTTCTTGCAGTCCTCTGCCGGCTGAAGCTCCGCCCACGGGGACAGGCGACCAATAGCCGAAGAGGAATTGTTTATTTTGGTGCCCTGTATCGTCGGCTGAAGCTCCTCCTCCTTTTTGGAAATGCCGCTTTGTTTCACATCACTGCCGCGAGACTTAAGCTCGTTCTCAGAGTTAGGCTCCGAGGAGGAGGACGAGGAGGAGGAGGACGATGAGGACGAAGAGGAGGAGGAGGAGCATGAGGAGTGGGCGGTTCTCTTGTTGTGTGGGTTTTCAGAGTCACTGCTCTCCGACAGGTCAGAGGTCATGTCCGTCTTCAGCCTTTTTAGACCCGCCTTTTTCTCATCCTCCTCAACCTTCCTGCGTTTGTTCACCGCCTGTTTAGCCTTTGCCTTGGAGTCTGGAACAGAGAAAACAAATGAGTCAGCTTTGATGTGGACAGCAATTTCTCCCCATTCTGTTCATGTCAAATTGGAATTGGAATTAGAAAATTGGGCTCAGAGGATTTTCTCAGGTAGATTTGACCCAATAGGGTTTCTAATCTTCTCCTAATATACAACTTCAGAACACAAAACGATCCTTCTAACACAAAGTATGCTCTAAAGGTCTAAATCAGTTCACTTCCACTGAAATGTCTACCACTGGTGAAGGGGGAGAACTAGTCAAATTCACCTGAGGGGACAAATGACAGGTTTAAATGTATAAATTGAGTCAAATGAATAAATGTATGCTTCAGTGGAGCAGGGTGTTGGAATGCATTCCAACCAAAAGGAGAGAAGGAGAGCACCAGCGACGTCCTCACCTCTCGCCGTGCTCTCTTCCCTGCGCTCCTTCTCCTCCTCTGGAACGCTGCTGTCCGATCCTTTCCTCCTGGATGAGCGAGCGTTTCGCTGCTCCCGCTGGTCCCTCCCACTGCCGCCGGGTGAGTGGTGCGATTGGCTGGCGGGCTGCTGACTCTGCTGTGATTGGCCCTGGTGCTGCTGAGAGGCCAGCGTCCCCTGGGAGCCCTTTGGGTTGGGGCCTGATGAGGTCATGACAGGGCGGGGGCTGTTGGCTTGGGCTCGCGTGTAATGACTCTGAAAGCGTATTCGGTTTTTTTAGGTTAGCTCACATAAAGAGATACGTTGTTGATTATTACATTACAGGTCATTTAGCTGACGCTTTTATCCAAAGCGACTTACATTACATTTTCAAACCATGGCTTTTACATTTTTGCCCGGGGAGCAATTGGGGGTTAGGTGTCTTGCTCAGGGACACTTGAACCACCAACCTTGCAGTTCCTGGCGCACCCTCTCTACCCCTGCGCCAGGACGACCTCCATGTACCCCAATGAATACATCACTATTTATGTGACACACATCAACATTTAAATGCCAGACTCTAATCGTCCACCTAGTTAAACCTAAGGCCGTCCAATGGAATCACACTTTAGAGTTTAGAGTTCATTCTCCTGCCTCGTCATTTTGCAGGACAAAGTTGGTGGTGCTGCTGCTACTATTAGCGTTCACTGGCAACAAATGGATCAGCCAGCAGGGAGCACAGTCGTTTTAAACGTTCATATCATCGGTAGGAATGACATCACAGAGCTATGCTTCATCCAAGAACAGAACCAAACAGGATGTGAGGTTTTGCAACCGAGAATCCAAGAGCCCACAATATGCTGTTTGTATCTGTTGTTGCAGGTTTTACATTCTAAGATGATGTTTTGTGAAGTAGTTTTATAATTCTTCCCACAGCGTTGTCATGCTCATAGTGAGATGATTGTGGACTAACTTAGCAAAAGCAGCTGTTATGCACACAGGGAAAGCGTGTTTCTATGGCCGTGGTGTGGCATCCATGCATTGGGTCAACAACTGTCTATCTATGTTCTGGTTCTGATTATATTTTTGGGGTACCTGAGTGTTGCCGGTGGTCCCGCCGGGCCTCCCTCCAGTCATCTTCAATGACAAGACAAAACAGATCAAAAGACAAGTGGACCAAATGAAATGAATATAGAAAACATGTGGGACGAACAGGAGGCCGGTTAGTGACCGCAGGAGCAGAATCGACTCAACCACGGAGCTCCTTGCATATGTGGAATCATTCAACAACGCTGAGGTCTTCTATTGACATCACCACATGGAAGGAGCCAACTAAGCAGTACAACAGTGCTCTGTATGTCTGCATGATTTTCATGTAGAGCAGTTAATGTTAAATAATTCATAGATTACTACAGTTACAGCCCAATCAAGGAAACACAAAACAGTGTGCAAAGCAATGTGATTTCACTGGTTCAGTATCTTGCATAATTGGTTTGGAAGGCTGTATGCAGCGATATCTAGCAAACAAACAGATAAGCAGATGCAATGTGGACAATGCTGAGGTGGAGTGAATGGATAACTAATCACAACCAGTTGTCTGCACACAGCGACACCACAACAACATAAACAGGCTAACTAACTGCATTACCATTATTATAAGCCCAAATAAACTGCCTGAGTCGGCTCTAATCTCCTCATGGTTTACTGCCTCTGTTATGTTCACATCTTTCATTGATGATGTACATATAAGCTAGTTATTTCTTTATTTTGTGCTTTGCTGAAAGAATGACATCCCCTGCATGATTTGAAATTTGGTTTCATTCTTAATATTGCCTCTACCCCAAAACACCTTCTATCATGCCCGCTCTAACTCTTGACTACAGTGCATTTTCATAATGTACTTTGACATTTGACAATGACATTTCTGTGCGTAACATTTGTATTTTTATTGTCTTCATTTCTTCGCATTATACTTTTATGCATTTTTTATATTGACACAACACTAACAAACAGTGTTAACAGAGGTAATATGTCGGCATATTTTTAATGTTTCTCTGCTTTGGTCCCACTGTTAGCTCTTACTAGTTGTGTGTGTGTGTGTGTGTGTGTGTGTGTGTGTGTGCACTCACATGGGTAGAGTTGTTGTTCTGACTGGAACGTGACCTCCTTCTGGAAGTGATGCCGATGTTTTCTCCTTTCAGTAGAGAGTGGACCACGTCGTCCAGAAAGGTCATCTGGATCATGGATGGATCCACGTTCTGAGGTTCTAGCACCTGAACACACACACCGGAGTCGCTGGATTACAACCATACACCTCCTCACTGTCACAGGGGCAATTCAATCAATCAGGGGCTAAGAAATGACTCAGCTAGAAATGTTACTTGTTCCAGGACGGAAAAATAAAATAAAAGCAGACCAAATGGATCTGTACTCCAACTGAAATAACAGTACACCTGTGTGTGTGTACCTGGTCATTCATAACGACCATGTTTCGACTGAAGAGGTCGTGGTGTGTGATGATGCCAGTGAACCACTGGGTGGCCGAGTCCTGTCTGTAAACTCGTACGCGGTAGCCATTCAATGAATAGGGACCTGGAAACAAAAGGAAACAGTTGCATTGCAGTGTTATTGTGCCGCCGATGGACGTATCAGACTTCACAACAGCCTCCCACACGTTACGGCAGTGAGACGACGGCTGCAGTGTTAAACTGCATACATAGGGAGCGAAGAGAAAGAGCGTGGAGGAAAGATTACCTTGCATAAAAATCTCCTGCACCTTCTGGTCTTTGAGCCAGCCCCTCACTTCTTCATGGAGCTGCTGGTTGTCTCTTAACACTGGACTCAGACTGTCCAAGTCATCCTGAAGGACAAAGAGGATAAGAAGGGATCAGGGTCAGACGCTTACTTGTTGTCCGCGCCACCTTTCACTGCTTTTTTCCTCTTTCTGGTGGTAAACCATAAACTTGTGCGCTGTGTGAGTGCGTTAGTGGTGGCGGGGAGTCTCTGCTGCTTTGACCTCCATCTCGTCCGCTCCTGCTCTCACAATACAGACGAACCCATGCTGTGGTATGTTAATAGTCATAGTCAAGATAACTTGTTTTAAGCTACAGATATATCCAAGTTAACTGTTCATTTCCTTTTGGGAACTTTCCCTGAATTCACCTCTATTTACTGGTAAAGACGGAGTTGTAATTACACTAAAGAACACAAGTGAAGTTATATAATTGAAGACAACACAGCTCCTCAAACAAAAAACACACCAGCAAGGAGGGGAAACATGAGTATCAAAAAAGTCATGAGAGAGCCTGGAACACTGATAGAATCAGTCTTGTTCTTTAACGAGAGTTCAGAAACACACACAGAGCGCATGAGGAAGAGGAAATCTAACCACAGTCACCACACGGGGCTTGTCTGTGTGTGTCTGTGTGACACCAATGAGGCTATTTGGAATTATTCTTCAAGGGGAAGCATCCCATGTGAATTGAGAATGAATGAATGAATGAATGAATGAATGAATGCCAAGCTATCACTGCTGGTAGTGATGTTTGAACACCTTTGAAATTACAAGAATGAAAGACAAGGAATGAAATTAAAAACAAGACAAAAGCATGAATAACAGTGAAATAACATAGATAGGGAAATAAGTAAAAATAAAATAATATATATCATAATATGAGTTTCTCTGTGCGCGTCCCTCATTCTGTCTCCCCCTCTTGTCCTGCTGCAGTGATCTGTCTAAGCAGCAGGGACGAATTCAGCAGAAACAGTATCTGATGATCTCTTTTACTACCGCTAAACACAAGACACACAGCGGGCCACTTCCATCCATCCAGCTGATTCAACACACAGTAACAGCATAACTAGATGTGAGGAACACACAGCATCGTGATCCCTGCTACCAAAACCTGATTGATCCAATAACATCAGCCTTCAAATCTTCTCCCACTGCGTGGTGTCAAACACTTAACGAGTGGGCCGAGAGACAGATGCCGCTACATCCCAACGTGTCCACATAAGGTTTTTCTAACCCCCCTCAGTGTCCCGGCATTGGGTGCACAGCCTCAGGGCACCTCACATGTATATGCCCGGGAGTCTTTCTACTATCCCTGCTTACTGTTGGCCTGTTTGGACACAATGAGACAGTGCTACCAAGGCAACTCGGCCACCATGACGCCGACTGGTCTGCTTTCATCAGACAGGAGAGAGATGGAGTAACAGCGCAGTCAAGTGCAGGAAAAATCTAGGATGTTGACTGTGAATCTGCCAAAAATGCTTTCAGCCAGAAATGTCTTGCGTACTTGTTGAAAGATGTAGATCTTTGTATATCAATTACACTTTAAAAAATAATTCTGAGCTAACACCTAATTTTTATATAATTGGTCATTTCAAAGATGACTTATTCCTTAAAACATTTGAATAACAAATCGTTTTAACAAATCTATTTTACAGAAATACTGTGCCCTCTGTTCTGAAACACAGACACATGTGTCCGTCAAAAGACGGAAGCTAAGCTAACAGCTAGGATCTAAGGCCACTCCAGCATGAAAGCAGTGACCAATGAGCTCATATCTACCAACCTTCATGCTGGACATCCAGCACTGGATGGTGGACATGAGGACGGAGAGCAGGACTTTCCACCACAGTGCTCACACACATTCTACGTTCAGGGACTGTGACTTGTTATGATATGTGTGTGAGAGCATGTGAGAGGTTGTCGTAGTAGCAGGACACTGGGAGTGTGACAGCATGGAGGAGAGAAGTGTGTGCATTGGAAAAGTTGTGTTTGATGCCAACACGGGCGATCAATTGTTAATGATCATATTTGTGTGTTTTTAACTGGGATTTACAAGTCTGTCTTCTTCTTATGTGTTCTTAGAAATATGCTAAAGAGCTTTTCACAGATTTCTGTATTCTTCCATTTTATTAATTTACTGAATATGGAATGACAGAGAGAGAGAGAGAGAGAGAAAGAGTGCTTTCAAAAAAGTTGTGTGTGTGGTTGCGTGTCGAATGTTTGGTGAAACTGAGTCAGCACTGACCGTTTTATTGTCCACCTTCTGTTCCCCAGCCTCAAAACACACCATAACCTTCTAGCAATAACCCCCCCCCCCACACACACACACACACACACACACAGACACACACACACACACACACAGACTGGAGCAGGATTGGTTGGCCGACTAAACAGTGACTTCATTGTACAGTTTATGCCAAACAGATTGCGGCCCCCTCCCCCTCCCCCTGATCTTCCTGTCCAACTGGAAAAACAGAGAGGGGAGGGGCCACGGCTGCTCTGAGTGAGAGAGAGAGAGAGAGAGAGAGAGAGAGAGAGAGAGAGAGAGAGAGAGAGGATCTGTTTTTACTGCTCAAAGGTCTCCAGAAATAATGGGCAGCTCTGTGTGGTCATAGTGGCTTAAGAAAGGTGTTCGTGTGTGTGTGTGTGTGTGTGTGTGTGTGTGTGTGTGTGTGTGTGTGTGTGCATCTCTGAAGTTAGCAGTGCCAGAGAGTGAGGGTCCTAAACTCCCTTCTCTTCTTATGGTTGCAGTGGCTGCTGGTATGTAGGAGTATGTGTGTTCTGGTTGTGAGGCAACTAATAGTAATATTGTAGTGCAGAGGTCTTCAATAAAAGATGGCGGACCAAACTCTGTAGAATAGGGGGTCCCTGCTCCATCTCGCCATCAGTTTGGGGGACCTCTGTTGCAGTGTGTATTATTTTAGCTACAGTTCAGTACAGTTCCGAGTTCAGGGGTAATATAGTTAAGTGCAATAAGTGTAATACGTTTGGTGCATATAGGGTAAAAAATAACGTGGCCTTATGAGAGTGGCCTGTACTTATGACAGATGCAATAGTTTGGAAAAATAAAGAGGTGAGCAAATTAATCGCATGTGAAAAATAATAATTATCGTGCCCATGTGCGTAAAAACACTCAACATACACAATTCCGCTGTTAAACTGAAGCTGTGCCTGTGTGTTAAGACTCAGTCCAGGTCACGCGAGTCTCCATGTGGAGACAGTAAGTCGGCAGACATCAGCCGTGTGTGTGTGTGTGTGTGTGTGTGTGTATGTGTGTGTGTGTGTGTGTGTGTCAGCCTTCTGTAGGAAATAGAACAAGACTCTGGGGATGTTGAGGACGGTTCCCTGCATCAGGCTGTGAAACAAACACATCCTGAGCGTGCTGCAGAGCTCCTGACGTTGACGTCTTCACTGAGGCTACGGTCCACAGCAGGAGGGTAATATCCTGCACATCACTTGGTTTAACGAGTTGTTTGTTAGCATGTAGCACATGCGCACGTGAAAGCAGCAGTCTATTTGATTTAACGACACAGTAATATCTAAATATTAGGCCTCTGAAATAAATTAATAAACGTGATCTAAGATCAGAATAATCTTTCTCAATAATTTTGCCGATAATCAAGCAGCTATAATGAACGCGCATAATAAATTGCACTGGCTGGTGTAATTTAAGTCTAGCTACAAGCATATTACTCCAAAAACAACGGTGTGGTCCATAACACAAATCATGGGGGAGCAAATAAAAAATAAAAAAAAAGAATGACATTGAAGAACATTTGAGAGGATCAAAAAAGAACGACAGGAAAACCAGAGCGCTGAGGAAACCTCAAATGCCAGTAGAGCAAGCAAACAGCCGGTGCACTGTGGCCGGGGTGGCCGACAGCCACAGAAACTAATAGCATGAGTGGACCAGAGGACACGGCAACAGTGGACATGGCTTCTGATTGGCTGCAGACAAAGGTGGAAAAACAGAAATAGAGTGCGTCTCTCTTGGTATTTGCACTTGTCTCAAGCTCGCCCTGATGACTGACGAGCAGGGTGAAGAACACAGCCTTCTCATCTGGGTTGACACCAAGTGGAACACAGTGTCCCAGGCAGCAAAATGTGGGCACACACGCGCACACACACACACACACACACACACACACACACACACACACACACACACACACACGCACAGTAGGGCTGTCAAAATTGCTCAAAAAAGGCATTGGAATATTTGAATTTCTGGTTGCGCATCAGGCAATAACAGGACACATTTATACAACGAGACATAACTACTTGGTAAATAGGTAATTTATTGAAGTTTAAACCTATTTAACAACATATTACCTGCACAAAAATAAGTAAATTAACTAATGGCCACGACCGCAGATCTCTCTCTCTCTCTCTCTCTCCATGAGTGGATGGAGTGCTGAGTGAACGGAGCGTGAGGTGAATTGTTTGGTAGTGTTTTCTATCTGTTATTTCGTTTTATTTTCGGTGTGGTTCTGGTGTGTGTTGTGACGCGGAAGCACGACGTGAAGCTTCGGGCTTTGCGTGCTCCGTGGAGGACTGCGCTGGATGAACCGAGCGGTGGTCATCTTTGTGGACAGCGTGGAGAAGGCGCGAGAGGTGCCGCCCTTCGTCCCGGCGAAGCACTGCTCGAGGAGCCAGTGAAGCACGGGAAGGTGGTGTCCCCGTTAAAGAAGGTGTCCTAAGGGTGTAGGTCTCCTTTACTGAGACATGTGGTCCCTCACAGGGGACAGCTCCACATGGTCCTCACCAAAGCCCAGGCTCTCAGCCTGGTGATTAAGGTGAGGATCGAGGGGTTTGACACATCGGATGATGGGAGGTGTTTCCGTTGTGGTGGAGAGGGACACCTGGCGAGAGTTTGTCCGGAGAAGAACACCTCAACTCGGGACCAGAACCGGGGAGAGGCAAGGGAGGAAGAGGGGGCAGGTGAAGACCAGCGGGTCGGTCTGGTGGGAGAGGAGATGGGGGAGGTACGGCAGGTGGGTGAGGGGTTGACTGTGGGGTCGGGTGAGGCCCAGCCGGTCGGTCAGGTGGGTGAGGGGGTGACTGTGGGGACGGGTGAGGCCCAGCCGGTCGGTCAGGTGGGTGAGGGGGTGACTGTGGGGACGGGTGAGGCCCAGCCGGTCGGTCAGGTGGGTGAGGGGGTGACTGTGGGGATGGGTGAGGCCCAGCCGGTCGGTCAGGTGGGTGAGGGGATGACTGTGGGGACGGGTGAGGCCCAGCCGGTCGGTCAGGTGGGTGAGGGGGTGACTGTGGGGACGGGTGAGGCCCAGCCGGTCGGTCAGGTGGGTGAGGGGGTGACTGTGGGGACGGGTGAGGCCCGGCCGGTCGGTCAGATGGGTGAGGGGGTGACTGTGGGGATGGGTGAGGCCCGGCCGGTCGGTCAGGTGGGTGAGGGGGTGACTGTGGGGACGGGTGAGGCCCAGCCGATCGGTCAGGTGGGTGAGGGGATGACTGTGGGGACGGGTGAGGCCCAGCCGGTCGGTCAGGTGGGTGAGGGGATGACTGTGGGGACGGGTGAGGGCCAGCCGGTCGGTCAGGTGGGTGAGGGGGTGACTGTGGGGACGGGTGAGGCCCAGCCGATCGGTCAGGTGGGTGAGGGGATGACTGTGGGGACGGGTGAGGCCCAGCCGGTCGGTCAGGTGGGTGAGGGGATGACTGTGGGGACGGGTGAGGGCCAGCCGGTCGGTCAGGTGGGTGAGGGGATGACTGTGGGGACGGGTGAGGCCCGGCCGGTCGGTCAGGTGGGTGAGGGGGTGACTGTGGGGACGGGTGAGGCCCAGCCGGTCGGTCAGGTGGGTGAGGGGGTGACTGTGGGGACGGGTGAGGCCCAGCCGGTCGGTCAGATGGGTGAGGGAGTGAATGTCAGAGTGGATGGGGGGTTGAATGTAGCCCAGCAGGCCGGTCTTGTGTGTGACAGAGTGAAAGAGGGGTTGGGGGTCCAACAGGAAGGTGAAGGAGCTCGGGGGGCACTTGGTGTGGGTGCTGCAGCAAGGAGGATATGGAGGAGGGGGGGGGGGGGGGGGGGCTTTAAGGTCCCCCACCTGAAGAGGAAGACGAGGGCCAGCAGGGGAGGCTCTCAGGCAAAGAGAGGTGGGGGGGGGGGGGGGGGGGGGGGGGGTGCTGCGAGCCAAGGGGAGGCGAGGGGGTGTGAAGTGCGAGTTCTCTTCGGGGTGGGGCTCTGCCACCAGCATCTCCTCAGGTGGGACGGTCACCAGCAGGTACGGGACGGGGCAGGTGAAAGCGTTCCTGGTGACCACCAAGAACGAGAGTAGTGAGGGTGGAGACCAGCAGTGGAGAAGTTCTCTCGCTCCGCTCGACATGGCAGCACCAAGAAGAGTGCTGGAGAGTACACCCAGCAGGAGGTCTTCAGACTGAGGAAGATGCTCCTCAAGATCACCAGGGAAGGGGGAAGCGTCCGTCCGGCTGAGGAGGATCCTGAGCAGGGGAGCGGCCCACTGACAGAGAAGGAGATGCTTGGAGGAGAACGGTGGGGTCCAGATCGACCAATAGATTATATTGATTATACTTTATATATTTTAGATTATATACCTGCTAAGTGCTGATCAAGAGTTTTGTGCAAGCAATTAGAGGTCGTGATTCTTGTCCCAAATATGTCAGACTTCATTCAGTGATTGAAACTGAAAGTTTTACAGTACCGACATTGAACGCTCCGAGCGAGCTGTGCTGTAAACACCGAACTTTTGCTTGGCGTGAAACGGCAAATAATCAAACTAGTGCATGAAGCTGTTGTAGCCGTTCTAGTCTATTTTATTCATGCAATATACAGTCAGTAGTCAGGTGCCCGCTAAGCAAAGAGTCGCGCCGCCGTTTTTTGAAATATGTATATTTTTTTACATTGAAATATTTATTAGTTTTTAACAACTATTCGAATATATATTTGAATGTAGTAATAGTCGTTGACCTAACGCACAGCCACAACAGAAGCTTACACCCATTCAATTTAGTGCCTTCTGTGGAGCGACAGTATCTGCGCTGTGTCTGTATTCATCAGTATTAAGTGTAATCTGTGAGTCGGAAGTCTGTGCAGATGACAGACATGCTGGCGGTTTATATTGTGGTTAAACCGCGGCCGTGTTGGACGCATTTGGAAGTCAGCGGCTGCAGTGTCCAGCACAGAAAGCGTTTACTCCCTTTGCCACAGCAGGTAGATTTGCTTTGGTTTGATTTCATAGAGTTAACTGGGCCGACATTGAAACCAGTGCTATCAGAAGGCTCATTACCGATCAACTTCACTGCTTTATTCGTTATCCCACTCTGTTTACTAGGAAGCGATGTATTCCATTTAGCTCATTCTAATTGCTATTACTATTTTTATTCTTGTTTGCTTTTTGCAATTTGTATTAATTTTAATTGTATCTTTTTGTATTACCTACAATTTTAATTGTTAGTGTCTAAAATCTCTCTATACAAAATAAAATTAATTGAATTGAACATTTGCACACATGGCAGCAACACATGAGAGTGCTCATTTTTCTCATCCAACTCTCAGCAAATTTACTATATACCGTGTGTACATGTATGTGCACTGTGAGTAGGTACATTTGGAAGTATGCAGTCGTTCAGCCTTGTTTTAGTTCAAATTCATCTTATGTCAAATGAGATGTTTTTGAGGGGGTTAAATAAAATATTGAAAACATTCGATAACTTTATCGAAAGTTATCGCTAAAATAACAGTTTTAGCGATAACTTTTGCGACTGTGTATTGATTTAGAAAGAATAGTTTACATGCAAATATGTGCACTCTCAAAGAATGGGATTGTATTCGGTGTGCCCTTTAATCGACGTATTAAATGATAATCTCTGGGATGTACGACCAATGTGAGCGTGGTCATTACCTGGTACGGCTGGAAGGCTGAATGGTCAGACAGGAAGTCCAGCTGTCGGTCTAAGAAGAATTCCACTGCGGTTACTGAGGACAACAGGCTCTTTCCCACCACCAGCTTAAATGCCTGCACACAAAAAACAAACAGTATGGTCAACGGCGGCACAGCAGCGAGGACATAATCATTTTCAAGAATTCATAATTTTCATAACAAGTACAAACTATGAATGGAGAATGTATTTGAGGTCTCCATAAAAAAAACGTTATGAACTTTAACAGCCACAATAAGTCGATCAATAAGGCAAAGCACAGAGGAGTGGTTTAGCGGTTAGAACAGCACAAAGGATTGTGGGTCACCCTCCCTGACTTGGACACTGTGCATGCTGGCCGCCTCCAGAAGAAGGCCACCAACATCTACAAGGACGTCACACACCTGGATCACCCTTTGTTCTGCCATCAGGAAAAAGACTCAGGACTATTAAAACCCAAACTGACCAGACTGAGGAACAGCTTTTTCCCCAGAGTGATTTCCGCCATCAAACCCTCACTCAGTGCTGCCGGCGGAAAAAACAGGCAAAAGTAGACAATAGCACGTCACTTCAACGAAGCACCTTCTTCACTATAGTATGTTTTATCGATTTTATTTCATTTAATGTCTTGTCTTAATGTTTTTATACATTCTTTTGTTACTGCTGTTCTGATGAGTCGCCAACTTAAATTTCGTTGTATGTTTTTTTACAATGACAATACAAATCCATGTCCTTATCTGGATTGATTGGGCATTTCCAGCCTCTCAAAAGGTGGAGATTTACACTTTTAGATGAGATGAGATTAGATTCAACTTTATTGTCATTGCACAGAGTACAGGTACTGAGACAGGCAGTCTAGCCAGAAGTGCAAGAGAGCAGATAAAGTGCAGAGTATATATAGATCAATGTACAGTGTGAAATATACATGGAGCAGTACATACATTAAGCAGCAGGGTTGTAAATATGAATGACAAGGTAGTGCAAATGTAGCATAGTTGTGCAAATATGGCATAATTGTGCAAAGAAACGGCATACTTGAAGTGCAGAATGTCCAGTGGCTGGAAGGTGGGGTGTCAGTGGGAGAGGTGTAGGGGGGGACTGGGGGCTGTCACTGTGGTGACAACGGTAGGGAAGAAGCTATTCCTGAACCTGCTGTCGCAAGAACGGAGGGCCCTGTAACGCCTCCCAGAGGGGAGGAGGGCAAACAGTCTATGGCTGGGGGGGGTGAAGTTGTCCTCCACAATGTCGCACGCCCTCAGAAGACATATTTTGTGCTGGACAGACTGGTGGGGATTGAGGAAGCAGTGATGTGCTGGACAGCGTTCACCCTCTGGAGAGATTTCCGGTCCGCAACAGAGCAACTGCCGCGCCACACCGTGATACAGCTGGTGAGGATGCGCTCGATGGTGCAGGGGTGGAAGTTCACCAGGGTCTGAGGAGCCTTCTTCAGTCTCCTCAGGAACAAGAGGCGCTGGTGACCAGGGTTGAGGTGTTGAGGGTCCAAGAGAGCTCCTGGGAGATGTGGACACCCAGGAACTTGAAGCTAGTAACACGCTCATCCTCCGTCCCGTTAATGGAGATGGGGGCGTGTGTCCACAATAAGCTCCTTGGTCTTCTTGGTGTTGAGTGGCAGGTTGTTGTTGGTGCACCACACAACCAAGTGCTGGACCTCTTTCCTGTAGACCAACTGATCGTTGTTGTTGATGAGGCCAATCACCGTTGTGTCGTCTGCAAAGCTGACAATGTTGTTGGAACTATGTAGGTGAAGAGGTAGAGCGTAGAGGAGGGGGCTCTGCTGGTCTGCTCATGGCCACCTCTTGATTGTCCCTGTCGAAGCTGTTCAGCTCGTCGGGGAAGGAAACTTTGTTCTTTGTACTGCGTCGGACCAACAAATATATTTAAGAGAGACGTTTTCAGTATGTCTTAACCAAACCACACATCACATTTTAGATTTTGTTATTTTATGCTGCCTTAAAACATCTGGCTTAGGACAGCAGATATGAGCCTCTCTGACCAGCTCTGGCTCACATACAGTGCAACTGTTGACTGGTGTGCATTGTCTTTTACTAAATAAATAAAAGCAGATTTGTTTTTAAATACAACTAAACCACAATGGAAAATAATTGTGGGCTGCTTTACTTCTGTAAAAGCGAATGGAGCAGCGTTGCAGCAGAGGAAGGGGAGTGAAGTGAGAGAGATGAATGACAGTAGAGGAGCCACAGAGATTAGAGAGAGGACGTGATGAAAAGAGGCAGAGAGGGAAAAGGAGCTGTGAATACATTAATAAGTAGAAGCAAGGCTGACAGTTCAAAGGCACTATGCTACACTTTGATGCTGCTGCATTTACACACACACACACACACACTCTGATGATGTCTGTCAGCTGTTACCGCTTGAACGAGACAGACGTCCACATTTCCTCTTTGTGTCCTTCTGTACCGACGTGAATGTAATGCAGCCAAACTATTGGAAAGAGTCACTTCTTATTTTTTATTGCAGCGCAGCTAGAAACTGTGTGTGTGTGTGTGTGAGTGGTTTACGGTTACATAACAAGGTCAGTGTGATAGTGAAATTAGAGGTAAGAAACATGACCACTGCGCCCGCCCCCCCATACAGTACACCACACACAGACAACAACCAGGACCACATTTACAAGCAAAACATGACCCCGGTGTTTGTGTGCGTCCCTCCATATCCCGGCCTCCAGAAGGCCGAGCGAAGCTGGCATTCACGCCACACCAAAGGACATTATTTTGGGAACGATACGTTTTGGTTTCCTCCTTCAGCAGCAGTGATCAACAGAAAGCGCTGAAGGCCTTGAGCTGACAGAGTGGTAAAGCGCCCGACGCCATCGGCGTTTTCTCTCAATGTGGCCCAGGACACACAGCGCTATGTGACACCACCGAAGGTAGCTGCTGATCGGAACAGGAAGCCCAGATTTCTAAAAGAAGTGGATTCAGACAGAAGCCAGTCTATGAGTGCAGCGCCACTGCCAACGTGGGGACATCCAGCAAAGGTGCTGCTTTGTAAGAACCACTGATGCCACCTCTTGCATGAAGTGCAACGAAAAGGAAAAATAAGTGCCACCATGATGACTTCAAATGATATCTCAGCAGTTGTGGCGTTTGATCATCTTCAAGCCCCCCGCTTTTTCGTGACACAAAGCTAATCTCTTCGTTGTATGTACAAACACTCAACAGGTATACTGGTCAAAAGAAGTAAGTGAGAAACGGTATAATGACCACGTCAGGTTCCTCCTGAAGGGGGCTGCAAGCTGCGACTGTTTGCCCTTCGTCAGAAGCGAAGCCTGTAAGACATCAGGAGGGGTCTAGTAGGTAATCCCAGAATCTGTCTCACCACATGCCTTTCCTTAAAAGGTGGGGGTTGGCCCGGCTGCCATAGGACGGTAGAGGTTCAACTTCCCATTTTCATAAAATCCTGTGTGTTGGGAATTGCATGCTCTGATTGAGAGGGAGTCTTTCTATGTACAAATGAACTTTTCAGTAGCAACTACCAGCTGGCTTTATCGGGTACTACTCACACCTAGGAATACGAATTTCTTTCTTTAGAGGCTAATTGGTTTGTGTGGATTGTTTAGCAGCCCCTTGTCGACTTTGATGGCAACAGACTTCAAATAATCGCAAAGCAAATAGCTATCTTAGTTACATAATTCTCCCTGGGACAGAGAGGCTGATGTGTGCACCTACAGCTGCTTTGGGTTCATCTGAGCCCATAGAAACATGTCAGGGGAGATGGAAGAATTTTAATTTCTAGACTCAGACAGAGCTCAGCCTCCATCTGTGGATCGCCGCTCTCATTCCTCTCTCTCCCCCGAACTGAAAGGACCTGACAGTCCCTCTAAAAACAACCACACACACACACACACACACACACACATCCCACTCTACCGCAATTGGGTCACATCTGCCAGTGTTCCGGGAAACAGCATTCTGTCACTGCGTATTTCCAGACGGGCGGCAGCAGAGTGGATGAGACGCGTTCATTCTCCAAGCACATTCACACCAGTCGACATACAGAGAAACTAATGCCTCCTTATGGACATTGCATATCCACACACGCACACAAAGGCACACGCCGGGGCAAAAACAACGCGTTCAAGAGGACATAAGACGACGCATTTCTGAGGGAAGTGAACACAAGACATCCTTTGACGTTCGGCGTGTGTCAAATAGTTGAACAGAAAAGGTGCAGCAGAACGTAAAGGAGATGGAGAGCTGATGATGGAGCACATGCATGGCAAAGTGACCTAGAGAAGCTATGCCACACACACACTGAAGCTTTCAGGGGGCATTGTTTGATGAAGGTCAGAGAGACACAGTGTTATATATAAAACAGGCTGGATAAACATTTGAAAAGTAACAGCCCATTGGAGAGGTTCCCAGGTGAGAGGCCGTAGACGGGAACCTTTTGTCTCCTGTTGTGTCATCTGACATGTAATGTACCACCCGGGGGCACTGGGAGCTTCCTCGCGGGACCAGAATGTTGAGTTTCCAATTACCTTATATGGGAAGTGATTAGGGGTGGGAATCTCTTGGCACCTCACGATTCGATTCCGATTCAGAGGTCAACGATTCGATTCCAAACCGATTATCGATTCTAAACTGATAAAACGATTATCGATGCATCTCGATTTTCTAAATTTTCTCAAATCTGAGTTTGAGTTTTTTATAAGAGAAAAAAAAAATCTTTGTCACAAATATGATTTTCTATCAACAATGCAAGAACCAATGCAGCTTGCATTTCAACACAATATGGAAGTAGCCTATGTAAAAAAATATTAAACAGATTCATTTTTCTTTTAAATTATTAAAGAAAAAGCTGCTCTTAGTCAATGATAAGAAGAAGACTTCAAACACAAAATGCCCCTTTTATTATGGGTAATAAGCAGCATATCCCTGAGACAGAAAATAAGTTATGCTACACAATAATACGCTACTTTATGGCGTTTGCATTTCAACACATTGCACAGCGTTTGTATAGCTGTGTCGGTAAAGTATCGCAGAGAAGGTATTTTGTATTGTACTCCAGTGTATTCACCATTCCCCGAAAACCCACGTTCTCCACAACTGAATATGGCCTTAAATCCACTGCAATAAATCTGGCAATGGATTTAGTAATCCGTTTTGCCCTCTCTGAGTTGCGTTGCAGTTGTACCAGTGCCTGACTAACAACTCCATCAACTGTAGATGCTGCGACAGTGGACCAATCACACCTTGCAGAACCCTTCAGTGATTGGCTGCAAGCGGAACCATACAAATAGTTGTTTTATTCTAATTCTGGGTTGAAACAATGGCTTAAGGGCAGGTAGTGTTCTATTGGAGATGTTTTTCATACTTCTTGCTACTGGGTTCCTTAGGTCAGTGCCCTGATGGTTTGGTGTACTGAAATCCAGCCCTAGTGGTTTACTGATTGGTATAGGCCCTGTGCCAATTATTGTATTTTTATAAAACAATTTTATAAAATATTTTATACAAAAAACAAACTCAGAACTAAATAGATCCTATTCACCTAAGAACATGATTTGTCACCTCTTTCAAACAGGAAACGCTTGTATTTACACTGAACAACGAGTCAAAACATCCAGGTGGTCTGTAGACACGGCTGTGGGGACACTGGGGTTTAGATGAGGCTCCCCGTTAAATCTAAACTGGTAAACAGGTTGATGGGGGGTGAGGGATGAACGACGCGTCCCAGCAGGATGAATAGAAAACAGGTCTCTCTGTGCCACTGCTACATTCCAGCTGGTCTCCAGCATCAGCAGCTACCACAGCCTCCATCATACAGCACAACAGACTCTCATTTGTACTTTCATCCCAACAAAAACGCCAATAAAAATAAAGGTCACGGTGTGTTCAATACCAAATAGCCGAATTAGACAGCTGTTGATCAGGCAACAATCAGCTGCAGCTCCTGGGTGTTTCAAAATGTCAAGCTCTTAAAGATATGAATTATTCAATGTGAAGGGGAGTCATGACAACTGCAAACACACGGTGCATCAACAAAGAGGAACTGAGGTTATGAGCTGAGGTTACAACCTGAGAGTGAGAAAGAGGATTCTAAAAGACAAATCCACACAAAGATTATCTAGAAAATCCAGCTGGAGCAATGACTGCAATGGTGGGTTAATTCTTTATTTATTTTGCATGTGATTTCATGTTTCTTCATTTGTACATGTATGTGTGTATATATATTAGGCCTGGGGGATGTTGACGTGTTAAATTAAAACTGACAATTATTTTTAACTTAAATTGTTAGTGCCCTGGCAAGTAGCGATTTGATTTGATAAGAATTAATTACAATTTGGGATTATTTAAATTGAGATTTACAAGAAACTGTTACTGTTCAAAGGAAATATTGTTGTTAAAAAGCTCCAGTGTTTCCACGTCCATTATATTGTGTGTGTTGGGAGGAGGGGGTGGCGGCCTGTCCTTCCTGTTTATGGTCTGTTTTATTCTAAATGGACCATCGCAATTACTAAATGAAGACTTGAAACTAGAAATAGAGACCACAAACCCATGTTTACATCAAGAGACTAGAGTTGTTTTCAGAATGAGTTATATACAACCAGAGGAGTACTTGGTGGCAGTAGAGGTATCAAAATACTGTATACGGCACTTTGTCATAGCCTTCATATTTCGGAAGAGGAGGTTGTGTCAAAAAACAACAAAATGAAATACAAATGAACTACTATTGGATGGATAGCTCTCAAGATAATGAAAGTGCCATGTCAGTTAATACTTTCATCTTGTCAGGGATACGCCTTGAGATGCATTCAAAAGCTCATTAAACATGATTAATTGGCTACTTCAGCCATTTAGTATGGCACTTTGATAAATTTGAGGGAAGGGAAGGTAAAAAAGAAAGTGCCAGGGGTGGAGATATCTCAATGTTACATCAGTTTGGCTCCATGAACATTGTAAATCCCACAGAGAGAGATCAGGGACAGGAATTTGAAAATATTTGTATGAATTTATTTTTGGTTTAACAGATGTCCCTTCAGTCCCGTCCAATAGATCGCTGACTCAGCACAGCCGCCGGATGATGCCATCTGAATGGTAAGGTATCGTAACACTCAGTAACAGTGACCTTTTATTGTCAACAATTCATCCAGGCTGAGAGTCTGATGTTCCTCTACTGTATGACTGTATGACTATGTTGATGTTACTGTCTGACTGTATAGTACATGGAGTTTAAGCGATAGTTCTGAAAGGAAGACTCTCTTTTTACGGGGTTTTCTCTGCTGTTGGTGTCAGTTGTCATTTCGGCCCAAAACCAGATTCGAATAGTCATTTCAGCGCGCACCAGATGCAAAACGTCTGGCTTTTCGGACAGGATAGTAGGAGCTTCAATAGATATAGCGTCTAGTATACCTAGGACCAAGGACTCGTCTCTGTTCTTGTCTTGCTGGACCTCAGTGCCGCATTTGACACCAATGATGATTGTATCCTGTTGCATGATTGGTTTTGAAGGAACTGCACTGAGAGTGGTGAATCCTTGATGACCACCAATTTTGGTCACGGAGTCCCACAATGTTCTGTGTTTGGACCAATTCTATTAATCCTGTATATGCTTCCTTTGGGCAATGTTATCATAACAAAAAGCATAGACCATTGTTATGTAGACGGTATCCAAATGTATCTGTTGATCAAGCCAGATGAGACCGACCTGCTCATTAGGGTTCAAGAATGACTTGGAGACAAAACTTCCTGGTGCTAAACTCCCACAAGACAGAAGTTATCCTGTCTCCAAGTGAAACATTTGTTCATACGTTTGACTTGATTACTGCAATTCTTTGTTATCAGGCTGCCCTTGTAAATCTCTTAAGCCTCTCCAGTTGATTCAGAATGCTGCAGCACGTGTATTAACAAGAACTAAGAAAAGGGATCATATCACTCCTGTATTAACTTCTCTGCACCGGCTCCCTGTTAAATAAAGACTAGAATTTAAGGTACTTTCCTCACCTACAAGGCACTTGCTGGTGAGGCGTCGTCTTATCTTAAAGAGCTTGTAACAGTATATTGCCCTACAAGGCAGCTGCGCTCCATAGATGCTGGTTACTTGTTGTTCCTAGGGTTTTAAAAAGTAGGATGGGGGCCAGAGCCTTCAGTTATCAGTTTAAAACTTTCCTCTTTGATAACGCTTATAGTAAGGGCTGGCTCAGGTTGGCCTAAACCGGCCCTTAGATAAGCTGCTAATCCTAGACTGCCGGGGACTTCTTTGGACACACCGCGCTCCTCTCTATCTGTCTCTCTTTCTCTCTGTGTCTCTATACAAAATGACATTAATTCACACCACTAATTCAGCTTTTGTGTTTTCTCGCCCCGCAGGTTTCATCCAGACCCTGTTCCTGCCATGGGCCTGCTGACAACTTCTGCTGTCATCAGTATTATAAATATGAATCACATTACTATTACTGTCATCATAATTCAACATTACCCGCTTTGCTTCTTTCCTGAAGTCTGTGCTTTCCCTAATTTCTGTTATAGGAATTGAATGTATTGTACATCTTATATGTTGTTCATTCTGTACACATGACATCCATTGTGGTTTGTCCCTCCTCGTTCTCCTTAAGGTTTCCTCCTTTTTTTCCCATGGAAGGGTTATTGATTTTTTGGAGAGTTTTTCCTGTGCTGATGTGAGGGTTTCGGGACAGAGGATGTCGCATGTATACAGAGTAAAGCCCTCTGAGGCTAATTTGTCATTTTTGGCTACAAAATAAAATGAATTGAATGAATAAATGTATTGTTGATTTGGAACTAGTCTCTTCTGATTGAACTGCAACCAGAATCATTTAGCCGACTGTGCACATTCATGTTCAGCTTCAAATCTCAGTGGTAAATGGACTATACATGTACATCTTTTTCCTTCCTTTCACTCAAAGCTCTTTAACACAAAATGTCATCATTTTAAAAACATCAAAACAACTATTGGAATGTTTTTAATTAATATTCGAATGTAAAAAAACAAAAACAAAAAAAACACAACAGACTGTCTGCTTTGGGGGTGGGCGCGCACCTGTATTGACTATATTGCATGAATAAAATAGACTAGATCGGCTACAACAACTTCATGCACTAGTTTGATTATTTGCCGTTTCATGCCAATGAAAAACAGCACAGCTCGCTCAGAGCGTTCAATGTCGGTACTGTAAAACTTTCAGTTTCAATCACTGAATGAAGTCTGACATATTTGGGACAAGAAACGCCACCTTAAACTGCTTGCACAAAACTCTTGATCAACATTCAGCAATTGTTTAATGTTGTCGTTCATTTAAACAGCGGCGGTGTGGGAGAGAGAGAGAGGGAGAGAGAGATCTGCGGTCTCGGTCATTAGTTCATTTACTTATTTTTGTGTAGCCGGTCTGTTATTGACGTGCCTAATGCGCAACCAGATATTCGAATAGATGGTTTTTTTTAAAGCGAATATTCAAACGTCATTTTTGAGCAATTCTGACAGCCCTACACTCACACATCACAGGCACAGCTACGCAAGCAACTTAGGGTTAAGTGTTTGGCTCAAGTACACATAAGACGACTACTGGAGCCGGGGATTGAACCGCCGGTCTTTTGATTGAAGGACGACCCCCTCTCCACTGAGCCACAGTCGTCCACTGAAAGCCTGCGTTCTTATTACAATTTATTTTCTGCTTTCTCTCCTTCTGGGACAAGGACATTCTTCTTCCCCAAAGGGGGTGCAGCCTTAAAGATTTCCAACCCCACACAAACGAGTTTGAGCTCTCACTCCCGTTTAGGCTTCCCCAGAGGCACAGGAGACGTTTTACAATCTTCACAGGCTGGTTACTACTTTTACTTGACTGAGAAAGGCCACAAAGAACTAGCTGTGCATCTTAAAGCGGATGACCTTGTGATGGAAAAGCCTAGAAACATTGTTAATCAGACAGTGAAATGTCCTCGACGGGAACAATGTTCACTGCTGAGCAGGTACATCGTGTACAGGACACGTGCAATGATTTACCACCTTCCACCCTGACCAAGAGATATCCAGACAAAATCAGAAGAGCAGCAGAGGCTGGAGATTCCAGGTCTGCGTTAGAGGAAGAGAAGGTTGACCGGGTAATGGACAAGTCAATCACAGAAAATAGGGAGGATTAAAACTGGAATCCACTGACAATCCACACATTTTGTGTTAATCAACGACAAATACAATAGTCAATCATTTTGGAAAATCTGCTCAACTCAATCATACAGATTATTACAATATAGAATTTGACAACGCTGTGGTATAGATGACATCAGCATTAAGTGGTAGGGAGGTTTAGAGAAGGCAGCATCACCTGCACGACTGTTGCAGGCCACACACACACACACACACACACACACACGAGCAGATTAGGGAGACCATTCAGTCTATTCTAGGTAATGTCCCCAGCTCTCTGGCAGTCTTTTACTTTAGTTGCACAGATCGAGTCAGCTCTGGTTTTCCGATGACAAACAGCAGCAATGTGTGCGACTGCAGGGGATAGAAATCTGTAACGTTACCTCTCTGCTCCGTCTCCAAGCAACGTCAAGGAGCAACGGCTCAGAAGAAAAACACTCGACAAAACTAGCTTTCTTCCAGCGATCAGAGGGGAGAGGCAGGAAGGATGACGAGTGTCAAAAAAAGAGACAGAACAAGAGCGATGTGGTTTCTTCTTGTGGCAAGAAAAGACAGATGGGAGAGAAAGAAACAGTAGAGGACGAGCTACACGGCCGACATTTTAACTGCTGCTGATGAAAGGAGGGGGAGAAAGGAGAGAGAGAGAGAGAGAAGGAGGGACGGAGGCAGGGCCGGCCGACGCACACTTCCTGTGTGTGTGTGTGTGTGCGTGTGTGTGTGTGTGTGTGTGACGCAGCCTCCCTCTCTCTTACTCACCCCTCTTTAAATGTCTCTCCTGCCTCTCAGCTCTCTCTATATCAATCTGTCTCACTCCCACTCCTCCCCGTCTGCTGTTCAATGGAGCTTTGAGTCATTCCCTTTCATACATTTAGTAACATCTGCGTATCAAGACAACATCGGTGTAAATAAAAAGTTAGAATGTCTAAACTCTAAATAATTAGTAAGTAATCTCCACATGGTGAGGAAAAACGGTATGAGCAATAAGGCGTAGTTCTTTCATTTCCACCTAGTGATTATTTACTTACATGGCATCATATTGATCTTGTAGCTTCATACAGGGATGTTTGATAAAGGTCAGTCACTAATAGAATATTCCTTGGAAATGTGCAACCCTAAGTTGGAAGCTTTACTTTGGAATTAACAGGGATATACGGGTATTAACTGGACATTTTGGAGGTAATATGTCTTGTCATCAATGACAAAACAAAATATTTGTTTTAACCTTTTCTTGCCTCAACGTTTTTTGGCCTCTGCTCTGAAAATGGCAACAACAACAACAGCACTGCATAGCGTAAGCGCGAAAAGAATCAATATAGAAAAACAACCAGCCACTCGTATCTGAGAAGCGAGGGAACCATCACAAGCACTCCAAACATGTTCGGTCATTACCTCACCCGGATGACTCGCACTGATTGGAGTCAGACAGAATTGCTTTTGAATGAAATTGAATGTGTCTGTTGGTAAGCAAGGGTCGCTAATTAGCATTAGCTTTCCATTAGCTACCGCGGTCAACCGCGAATGCGTGACGGGATTTTTTTTTCCTATGAAGGCGATCAACCGGTTCATAGCAAACAATCAAGCTCTGATCGCTCTGATTAATCCGGTCATCAATGTGCAGAATTATTCTCTGCTAGTAGTAGACACACAGCTGTGTAGCAATAGTCCATATGCTACACTTATTAAAGCAACATTTCCACATACACACTCAGTCACCAACAATAATACATGCTACAACAATATTACCACAGCTGTGTGCACTGGTGAAGGTATGCATGTTTTAGCCTTTATGCCATTCTCCAATGAGGAGGTGTGAACCCTGCTGGTTTAGTCAGAGCAAGATGGCTGAACTGCTCCTGTGCAGTGACAGTGTCTGGCCCAGTGACCAGATAATAAGATGCCAGGTAATAAGTGGCGACTGTGGGTGAGTGGGGAGCAGGGTCGACCTCCAATCAGAGGGTTGTGGGTTCGATCCCAGGCCCGGCTAACCCGCATGTCGATGTGTCCTTGGGCAAGACACTTAACCCAACATTGCTCCTGTAGCTGTGACTAGTGTGTGAATGGTAGTTACTGATGGCAGGTGTCACTGTCTATGGTTCTCCTGTCATCAGTGTATGAATGGGTGTGAATGGGTGAATGATGTCATGTAGTGTTAAAGCGCTTTGAGTGGTCAGAAGACTAGAAAAGCGCTAAACAAGTACAAGCCATTTACCATTTACCATAAGTGCGCCTGTGTGTTTGCTGTATTTCATTCTACACGGTGGGCATTGTTACTAGGTAAAGTAGCAAGTCTAGAGACGTCAGAGAAGAAAGATATTCCACCTATGTTTTACTCTGGCTTTGCCGACTGCTGCTTAGCTGCTGTTTAGATTTAGTCTGGTTAGTGAACAAAAGGTCTGTCCACAGCTAAAGTTGTTGGTACCAGCAAGTACGCTCGTCTGTGATTCAATCTGATGTTGTGTGTTATCCTATTGTTTATCAGCTTGTTTACGCTAAACAGAAATCCTAAGAAGTGTTAATTGCTACCCGACCCGTACATCTGTTTATGGTAGGCGAGGTTAATGTGACATTTATACTCCTCCACGCTTCAAACATGGTCCCAGGAGCCAAAGGCTGAGATGGAACCGTTCAAATGCAGTTCATGGCGAGAAACCTGAATATATCCAGCTGATTGACGAATACATTTCTACAGCAATATAAAAAGAATATGAGAGGTAATTATGGACCTTTAATTTAAAAACAATCCTCATACTGGTATTGACGTTTACATTTCTGGGATTGACACTGCACTAGTATACCGCACGCTTATCAGAACTGAATAACAAGGAATCTGTCAGACAGACTTCTATCACTTCACCTTCTTATCTCCGCTGCAGCTTCTCCGACAAAAAGAGACAAACTATATGAGCTTATGAATCACAAATCATCAGCGCCAGTAGGTTTGTTTTGGGGAGATATTTATAGCAGGGATACTCGTATCAAATCCTCTGACCTGGCAGCGGCGACAGATAAAACCTCTGCTGGAGTTCATTTCTATAAAGAACACACACAGCTTGAAATTGCTGCTCCTCTCTGCCCGTCTGCCTCTCCTACTTGGACAGAGGAGCGGTAACGTTGCTGTGTAGCAGCATTAAGACACTAAGCCACATTGCGGCAAGTGTGGGTGTATGTGTGCGTTGGTGTGTGCACGTCACATCACTTTTATTACTGGCTCTGCACCATTCGTTTTAGCTGCAGAGGTGGCAGACGGACACGGCGTCATGTGCTTAGTTCCGTCTCTATTTAAAGCTTCCTGACCCGCTGGGTTTAAAGTGGACAATACATGTATGAATGGATTTAATATAACTTCCGAAACAAAACCTGGATGCAAACACTAAAAAAAGTGAAACGAGTCGAATCAGTGGTCATCTGCAATAAGAGCCAAATATGTTATTTTAACCCTCCGTGCTGACCCGAGATCTGCTCTGTCCTCGTGGCCTCGGGTGTCCTCTGGTCATTCAAATCCACTTTGACTTTGATGGGA